GGGTTGGTCTTGGGTCTAGGGTTGGAGTCACTGCGGGTCATCGCGTGACAGGATGCCATCGTCCATCAGATTGTTTCTGTGATAGAATACCGCCAGAGGCTTTCAAAGGAGCATCTGACTCTATTCAGAAAGGCTTAGTAACATCTGGTTGAACTAAGAGCAGCCATGTCTTGAAACATTCCTTGAGTTGATTGATGGCTTTGTCGTGATCATCTGTCCAACTCCATTTGACACCTTTCACTAGAAGATCAAATAGTGGTTGTGCAACTTTGGAATATCCTGGTATGAATTGTTGGTAGAAATTTGCAAACCCTAGGACCTGTTGCGGTGCCTTGATGCTGTCAATCTTTGGCCAATTGAGTACTGCTGCTATCTTATCTTCTGCCATGCCAGTTTGTCCTGGTCACAGAATGAATCCCAGGAATTCAACTTCTGACACATCAAAGAAGCACTTTTTGGGTTTGAGGAATAGATCTGATTCTTTCAGCCATTGGAGAACTATTTGTGTGCATTGTCAATGTTCCATGTGGTTGGTAGAGTAGATGAGAATGTTATCAATGTAGATTACAAGCCATCCTTCCAGTAACAGGTCTGCAAAGATACCATCCATCATAGCTTGGAACGTTGGTGGGGAATTTGTCATTTCAAAGAACATGACTGTTGGTTCGAATAATCCTCGTGGAGCAATAAAGGCTCCCTTCCATTTATCCCCTTCTTTGATACATACATTGTTGTATCCTGCATGTAGGTCAAGTTTGGTAAACATGGTTGGTTTGGCAGAAGTGACACAATCTAATAGATCTTCTACTCGTGGAATAGGGTAAGCATTTTTGATAGTGGCATCATTTAGTTTCCTATAATCTTGACATGGACATAGATCTCCTGATTTCTTATTGACAAAGAAGAAAGGTGATGCCATGGGAAACTTTGATAGACAAATTATCCTTTCTGTAGGTTTTCCTTGATGAAGGTATCTGTTAAGGGACCTGACAACTGAGGATCAGGAGTTCAACTGCTAACCAGTAGAAGGACTAAATACACGCTATAGTCTCTCACGACTGATACTAGACTTGTAAACTGAGCCGCTATATCTGATAGCGGTTTGAGAATGTATACCGTTGAAAGCAAAGCTTCAGACTGAGACTGAATAGACAACTGAGTCTATTACTGAAGACGTCCCTATGAAGTGTACATAGGGAATAAGAGGACAAAACTAAGGTACAGTAGCGCAAGCAGTGCTA